ATGTCTGGATGGCAGTTGCGACCACTTCATAAGGTCACTTGGAGAAAGCAGTGACTGGCAGAATGAGCCTTGCATCTAAAACTCCAACAAACGCTAGGCCCCACACTCCTCTGACTATAACACCCATGCGTGTCTCCCTCACAACAGCCACAGATAATCTGCACTAACTAGATTGGGCTTTTGAGCAGGGACTGGCATGGCAGCAGCCACACTGCCCCTCAACTGCTGCCTCTTCTGCCAGGATCCTCCAGGGTTTCTACCTTACGCCATGTGGCTCCCAATATGTGGCCAGCCAAGTCCAAGGGAGACCAGCCAGGGGAGCAGGAGAGGGAGGCAGGAGTCCCCTCAGGAGGGCTTCTTGGAGCCGAAGGTAGAGCAATACCTCAATTGCCCATCCATCTCTCCATCCACCATCACATCCGTTGCTCAAGTGGCTGAGCTTAAAGCCAGTCCTTGCTCACAGTGGAGGGACAGGGGAGGAGAGGGGGAGAAGCCCAGCAGGAGTGCTGCCTATTCCAAAAGGCAGAGAGTTCACACTGTTCCTCTTAAGGATGCCCATATTTCTGCCCTCTTCCTTTCATCATACACACTGCCTGTCGAGGAGGGACTCACCCCATCCTATACTAACTGTTAAGGACATCGCCACCCCAGAGTCCACTTGCCTTCTGGACGGTACTGAGCCACAATCGTGACTGCTTGGCCAGCGTTTTTCAAGGCAGCTGCTGCCTCTTCATGAGTGGCTGCTTTGAGGTCTACGCCATTTACCTGTGAGGAGAAAGTAAATGAGGTGGTGCTCTCCATGGCACTACCCATAAAGGCTGGGGGGGGGGCACCTGCATATCGGGACCTTTCACAAGTAGGGAAGCTCCCCATCCTCTGTCAGCACCTCTGTCCCAGCCCCCCTCGCATCTGGTGGCAACTTGGCGATGGTGCCTAGTGGGGCAAGGGCCCCTGAGCCAAGAAGGGGATGGGGCCTCTTGCTATGTCCCCTCTCACCGAAATGATGCGGTCCCCCTTCCGGAGCTCCCCGCTGAGATCTGCAGGACCCCCAGCAAGGATAAAGGAGACAAAGATCCCTTCCCCGTCTTCGCCTCCCACGATGTTGAAGCCAAGCCCCGTGGAGCCTCGGTGGAGCACCAGCCTCCGTGGCTCCCTAAGAGACAGAGAGCAAGAGAATGCAGACCATTTGTCCTCGGGGGAAAACCAGAGGCAGAGCGGCAGAAAAAAAAGGGGCTGCAGCCCAGCAGAGGCACTGCACTGCCAGTCCACCCCATGCCAGTAAACTACCAAGCAATGAGGTTTGCAGAGGAATGAGGATTAGAATGGAAAAAACTGATGTTTCTTTCAGTGTTCTAAAATCAAGTGAGTTCTGCTTTAAACATTTAGTTCTCAATCTGGCACTGGATGGGTGGGTAGCCAAAGGCCATTCACTGGGCTCATTTTCCCTTTGGACTGGGCCTGCTGGGCTACCAGTCACAGAATCAGAAAGAGTGGGCAGGGAGAGAGAAGCAGCACATGAGAAACCACAGCGCAAGCCGTGGCAGGAGGGAGATGGGCAATTAATTGGAGACATTTCCATAAAACAGGCAAATCCATGGGGAAGAGTCCACCCCTTCCAGGAAGTGAGGTATTGTTGCTGTGAGGCTGAACTCATGACTAAGGGGCCTCTTGCCCACCCCCTAAGGCAGCCCCCTCTGAGCCAGCAGCAGCAGTCTTGGCTCTGTCAAATAATGGCAGCTCTCTGGGTTCCTGAAAAGTGCAACCCACCCGTGGCTCCCTCTTCCTTTCCACCCACGCAACACAGACACCATTCTTCAAAGGCTTTCAAGAGCACAAGGACAACGAGGCTCTGCTTACCAAAATGCCATGATGGGGCTGTCTGCTTTTGTCCAAACTCCTCACTGTTGACAGAGATCTGATGGGCAATCTCAGAGCCCCACCTGGTAACTCCAGTGGCCCTCTGGGCAACAAGAGGGCATTCCCTCTGCCTCCAGGCCACAAATGCTCCCCTACCGCTCAGCTGAATCTGCCTAGGTAACTGTGTTTCTGCCACTCGGGGCTCCCTTCCTGGCACACCATTACCAACTCTCCTCCTTGGTACCGCTTTCTGCAATCCAAGCAAAACCGCTGGCCCCTGAGAGGACAGTGGGGCTCAAGCTCAGCCCACACCAGCTCCTCTCTGACTGCACAGTCAATCATGAACACCCCCATGCTGGTGACATCCCTCCTCCATGGGCCTGGCATGCCTGGTGAAGCAGGGTAGTGCTCTCCGCAAGGACATGGTGGTGATAGCTTCCTACCTGGTGATCTCGTCGTCCCCAAGCATCCCCTTAGGGATGGGAGAATACCTTCCGGGCAAGGCTGGAGGCAGGGGCTGCCCCAGGTAGGTTGATGGACTGATGTGGTTGTCGATGGGCTGCGAGTAGGCTGGAAAAGGGAGGAAAGAGAGGGGGGAGTACTGTGACCTCCACACAGAAGACTGGAGTAGGATTTGGATTCTTCTGTCCTGTTCCCCAGCTGTCCCCCAGCACTTGGGTCAGGGCCCCTCCACATCTGCCCCCAAAGAAAAACAGTCCACTCCTTGTTTCTCCCCCTCCCCATGCCTGGCCAAGGGAACGCCCCCCTGCACCCACTGTGTGCCCATTCCAACCTGGGGAGTGAATGTGTGTGCAGCTGAACACCCCTCCAGGGCCCCTTCACCACCAAGGACCTGAGCAATTTGGCTGGGAAGCGGTGGCTGAATTACACAAAGTATTGCTGACAGTGCTTTAAAAACATTAAGACTGTAAATAACAACTATGCTTACATCACAAAATAAGGTTACATCACAAGGTCAGAATACTAGAGTTCACGATGAAAGCCATTTCAAGGAACTTTTGGGGTTAAAACATGTATTGAAATAAGGGGAACCATTACAAAGATTCACAAAACTCAGAAACTAATCACACACAGCGACTTCTACTGCAGCCAGTGTTGGGCAGTCTCCTTGCAACCACATTGTTGCTGCTCACACCATGTTTAACATAACAGAAGAGGAAAAGATTGTGGGATCAAAGGAAGTAATAGTCCCACTCTATTCTGCTTTGGTCAGGCCTCAGCTAGAATACTGTGTCCAGTTCTGAGCACCACAATTCAAGAAGGATGTTGACAAACTGGAGCATGTCCAGAGGGGGGCAACGAAAATGGTGAAGGGTATGGAAAGCATAACATTCTATGAGGAGCAACTTAGGGAGCTGGGTATGTTTAGTTTGTAGACAAGGTTAAGAGGTGATATGATAGCCCTGTTTAAAAATGTGAAGGGACGTCATACTGAAGATGGAGCAAATTTGTTTTCTGCAGCTCCAGAGAGTACGACCTGGACCAATGGATTCAAACTACAGGAAAAGAGATTCCACCTCAACATTAGGAAGAACTTTACCTTCCAAGGTAAAGAGCTGTTCTGACAGTGGAAGACGCCACTACCTCAGAAGGTGGTGGGGTCTTCTTTGGAGGATTTTATACAGAGGCTGGATGGAGGCTCTGGTGGGGCAGGAGCCCTGGTGGTGCAGTGGTTAAATGCCTGTACTGCAGCCATTCACTCATAGACTACAAGGTTGCGAGTTCAATACTAGCCAGGGCTCAGGATTGACTCAGGCCTGCATCCTTCCGAGGTCACTAAAATGAGTACCCAGCTGTTGGGGGGCAATGAGCTTACAGTTGTAAACCGCTTAGACATCCCATAGCGCGATATGAAGCGGTATATAAAGGAAGCTGATTTGCCCCCTGTCAGGGGTGGTTGGATTGTGTGTTCCTGCATGGCAGAAAAAGGTTGGACTGGATGACTCTTGGGGTCCCTTCCAGCTCTATGATTCTATACTTAAAAGGCCAAGGATGCCCCCACCCACCCCAGAGATCATCACTCAATGTTTCAATGGATTGCTTTCAGGTTCCTGTCAATTACCTTTACAGGCATCTCGTACGGACTGTAAGTGATGTTCTACAGTTAAATCTATTTCTTGACCAAGTAGAACTTGTCACACTGCTTCTCCTATTTTCTGATAAATACCATCTGAACTTATTAACCTCTTCTTTCCTTGTCACATCATCCTTAATAAACATACAATAAATCTTTAGAGCACAACTCTTTGGTATTAGGGAAAGACCACATTTGCATCAATTAACTGGATGAATGCTCTATTTCTTCCAAGCAACCTTACAGCATTTAAAATACGTGGATTTATTTGCAGCTAACATGATAATCTTATGGCTCTTTGCCATCTTGCCCTCGGGCATGGTTTTCCAAAGGCTGCTCCCACCACCAACAAAAAGGTGAAGCAGTCACCTCTGGCTCCTGCTCGTGAGCTTGACCTGAGGATCCTAAATCTACCTTCAGATCTGAGCGGGCAGAGTTGTTCTAAGGGACTTTCAGACTGCTGGCAAAGGGTTCTCGGCCTCACATGCAAAGGACAGGGACTCCAGTCTCAAAAGGACAGCCACTGCCAACAATGGAGGGAAACCCCATGATGTGGCTTTTCTTCTGTGGCTTTTGTTCCCAGTCACCTCATTGCTAAGCCGGGGTGAGAGGTGGCTCTCTTGGCTGCACAGACTCCCTAATAGCTTCAAAGCCAAAGAGAAGAATTTTGGGTATTCCTTGGTTGGCTTGATAAAATGATTGCCAAAATGGATACCTCTTAGCCCTGTCTGAGGGGCAACCCTTGCCTTCTTCATTTACGTTTATTTACAAGTACACTCGTCCCTCACCATTCGCGGACTTGCCGTCTGCGGTCTTGGTCTTTCGTGGATGGCCAGCATCAAGGGACAAAATGGCCTGCGTGCCCAAGGCATGTGCCCAGCCATTCTAACTAACGGGGCTCTAGTATTTGCAATATTTCCGATTCGCTGGGGGGTCCAGAACGGATCCCCACGGGAATCGGAAGGGATGACTGTACTGATGAAACGAAGGCCCACACCTTCCCACTTTGTTATGGATTTCGTTGTACTGCCCTATGTCACCTTCTGAAGCCAGTGTGGTCCAGTGGTGTTGATGTTGAACTAGGACTCTCAGAGACCAGGGATCAAATCCCCACTCAGCCATGGAAACCCTCTGGGTAGCCTTGGGCATCTCACACTCTCTCAGCCTCAGAGGAAGGCTGCTGGCAAACCTCCCATGAAGAATCTGGCCAAGAATCTGGCCAAGAAAATCCTATTTTTAGAGCCAGCTTTGTGTTACGGTTGACTACTGGAATAGGACTGCAGAAGGCCTGAATTCGAATCCTTGCTCAGTCCTGGAAACCCATCTGATGACCTTGCGAAGTCACACTCTCTTAGCCTTAGAGGAAGGCAATTTCAAACCTCCTCTGAAGAAATCTTTAACGCCAATGTGGTGAACGTGTTTAGCTAGGACTCTAGGAGACCAGGGTTCAAATCCCCCTCAGCCATGGAAACCCACTGTTTGACTTTGAGCAAGCCCCACTCTTTTCTCAGCCTCAGAGAAAGTCAATCATAATACCCTCCCCCAACAGATATTGCCAAGAAAACCCTGTGATAGCCACGGTGAGCTGGAAACAAAGGCACACAGCAGCCACAACTTCACCATACCTAGGAAATTTGCTTATTCCCATAAATCCAGACTACTGCCAATCCCATGGAGAGGGGTAGGGGGGCATACTGCCTGCCGCCTTCTTGTAGCATCCTAAGGAGCGTCGTAGCTGTGCTCAATCCCTGTTTGCATCTACTGTGGGGCCCCTGGATCTCCCCCCACCCCAATTCTGTCTAGGGCTGGGGCTGCTTTTAGGGGGTAAAAGGAAAAAGCACACCAAACTAAATCCAAACTAAATAGTCTTCTAAGGCTAGGAGGAGGAGGAGGAGGAGGAGGAGGAGGTGGGGAGACAAATGCTTGCTCCTCAAGGCTGCTCTTCTGCCTGGCTTTCTCTGGAGGAGAAGGCCAGGTGGTGGAGAAGCAGGATAGGTGAACACTTGCCCTGCAAGGCTCCTCCATTACTTGGCTTTCTAGTGAGGAGAAGGATGAGTGGTGGAGGAGGAAGAGGAAGGGCAAACGCTTGCTCTGCAAGGTTCCTCCTTTACCCGACTTTCTCTTGAGAAGGTCGGGCAGCATAGGAAGAAGAGGGGCAAACACCCGCCCCTCAAGGCTCTTCCATCAGTCAGCCTTCTTTTTCTGAGAAGTCCAGGTGGAGGAGAAAGAGGACAGGCAAAGCTCCTCGGCTGTTTGGCGTTCGCCTGACGAAAGGGCTGGACAGAGGAGGATGAGGATGGAATTAATGTTTAATTAAAACCTATCTGCAGCTCAAAGAAGTTTATTCTATTTTAATTCTGGTCCCTACCTATTACAAAGTTGTGCAAGTCTGGCTTAATACCTTCCCGCTGTGAAAGCATCCTGATTGAGACTCTGTGGGTGGAGAGGATGAGAAACCGAAACATTTTTATTTATTTTTTTTTGCTGCAGCAGAATTCAAATGAGGCCTGTCCAGCTGCCACCTGCTGTGCCTCTTGGGACCCTTAGCCATGGAGGGCTCTGGGGCAAAGCCATGAAGGCAAGAGGGTCTTACCGTTGGTGAGGTCCAAGGGGGTATAGCTGTCATTCATGAACATGCTGGTGGGCTTTGCTACTTTCAGGTACACCAAGTCGGAGGTGTTCTTGAGGGCGGTCACTGCCTCCTCATGTGTCACTTCTTCTAAGCAAACACTGTTCACCTGGAGGAAAGGCATGAGAGCGACACTGAACCAAAGCCTCCTTGAAGGAAAAAAGCCTCATCCCATGAGGGGCCGAAGAACTCCCATTTGCCCGTGAGAAGGCACGGAGCCGGCATGCTTGGAACCTGGCCTTCGACACCATCTCCTCTGACAAACAGAAGCCCTTCAGGGTCTCGACCAAAAGCCTTGATACAGAAATTGAGGATGGAAGGAGAATCTCCCCCTTTTTCCAGATGTTTCTAATAGGCTTTGAAAGGAGAGAACCATAAAATAAAAGGGAGGCTTACCAGTCAGAATTAATCCCCTGCCTGAATCCTGAAGGCACCATCATGAAAGCAAAGGCAAGGCAGGGAAGAAGCCAATGCAGAAAGAAACCCTGCCTGCCCCTCAGGGCCATTTCCAGCACCGGATCAGCCCTGGACGGTGCCCAGAGGCACAATGGGAGAGGGCAGCTGCCACTCTTCTTCCTTCTCCTCCTCCTCCTCCTGCTCAGTGCTAGCCTCAAGAGGGTGACACTGGCCTGGCCCATCCTCTGTCCCTCCTGCCCCGGCCCTGCCCTCTGTGCCAGCTTGAGTCAGGCAGTGAGGCCCTTTCTTGCTGGAACCACTCCCTTCTCCTTTCACCCACTACAGCTTCAACACATGCCTATGCCCCCTCCCCAGGCCTTTTAGTTTCATGGCAGGGGTTGGGGAACACATGCCCAGCAAGTGCTGGATTGCATCTCCCATCAGCCAATGGTGAAGAATGATGGGACCAGCTGTCCAGACACACCCCCAGTGTGGTATTACAGGAATAAGTGTGCATGGCATCCCTCACCCACAGTCCCAGACAAAGAGACATGTGTGGGATGCCTCAGGACAACCAATGGGACCTGGGGGCTGGCACATGAGCGTCCCACTGGGTTCAGCTTCATTTAGTTATTTCTCATCAGGGCCTGAGCTCCCTTCAGCCAAGCTGATCTTGAACGCATAATCCTAATCTCTTAAATCTTCCAGCATTTAATTATCTGGAGTATTCCCACCTCCCCCAGATCCTCCACAGCACACAGCCCTGGCTGTATCCTTCCCAGGCAACCTGGTCCCAAAAGAGAAGGGGGGGATCGGATCTCCCCCTCCAGGGCCTCTCATGGGGGGCTGAGGGGAGTGTGGACCCTTGGAGCCCACTATGGACTTGAGGGGGAGGGCACCTGGGAGTGGGCTGGTGAGACTGAGGGAAAGGCGTCTGAGAAGAGG